GAAGGTTTTTAAACAAACCTACTTTTTCACTAATAAAGTCACCATCATAATTGCTATAATTATCAAGTAAAAATTTATTGTTTCCTCCATATCACCTTTTAGCATTGTTAATCATTTAGCATCTACTGGACTCATTGATTCACAAATTACTTCTAATAGTATAAAAGAGCAAATGGATAAAGCATTTGATCACTTTTTTCTTCAATTGAGCTCAAAAGTTCAGCAAGCAAAATCTGTTACGCTTCTATTTAACGTAATATTGAATGATGCTAAATGACAATTTGTATATTGTAATCACTTGTTGTTGGTTAACTGAAAATTTCGAGTTTCATAGAATTTTATTAGGAACGAATTTGTGTTATTATTTTTACGATTTTAACATCAAAATTTTAAATACCGAAATGTTAAATAAGTGGAAATTAAATAATTTGAAATTTATTCGCGTTGCAAATATTGTAGATGAACTTTGTTGTTTTTTGGATGTGGATATAGATTATTTTGATGATATGCTAAAAGAAAAGTATCAAGATTTCGTACGAGTAATCGAATGTGATATGGAGGAAACAATAAATTTAATTAACGGTAGGTTAACCCTCAATTCAGTGTTAATAAAGTCATTGTTTGATGATTGAATAGTTATTGTGGGTACTGAGGGCTCTGTTGATTGAATAGTTGTTATGGATACAGAGGATTCATTTGATTGAATAATCGCTGCAGACGTTGGAGATTTTGTTATATTATGTTTATTCTTAAGGTGACGAACAAAAAAAGAAGTGAATACAGCAATTGGTAATCTTCCAAATGAGAAGCAAATTAGCACGTGCGCCTGCATTTATCACAGATTATCATTTCTTACATTAATGGAGCAACCTTTCAAATTTTTACTTGATAATTATAGTAATTATGATGGTGACTTTATTAGTGAAAAAGTAGGTTTGTTTAAAAACCTTCTATTAGACCATTTGCCATTTAGTATATTTCCCAAATTATTGCAATTGTTTAAGCCTTTGCAACATACTAAAGTCACTTCGAGAAATCTTATAAAATTATTAACCAACGCTTTTAATATTTTAAACGAGATTTCTCCAATTACTTTGTCGAATGAACTTTCTCAGTTTAGTTTAGAGCACAAGTTCCTTGAATCATTTTTATTATTTCTAATTAATTCATATTTTCATAAGAGAATAAGTTTATTTTTAGATCCACGTTTAAAATCAAGTATTATTTTTGATGTAAGTTTTATTTAAATTTTAACATTATAGTTAATATTAACATTTTTCTACAAAATAGATGACGGTCAAAGAGTTTGTGCTAAATAAATGCCAAGCTTATTATTATTCAAAAGTTACCAGCTCGTTTGATAACAATTTGGATGGATCAATACAAAATTTAGCAAATGATGAACTGGAACGTTACCTTAATTATCAGCAATTTTTTGATGAAGACTTTGATCTTTATAAATGGTGGCAAAGTTCAAAAACTACATTTCCGGGGTTAGCTAATCTTGCAAGTGAAGATTTGCTTTTGGTTTCAAATAATGGAGTTCAGTTAGATAATCTTGATAAATTTGAAAATGTTTATGAAAATGATGACATGGTAGACAAGTTTATTTTTTTACATTTTAATATGAAATATCTTGATCTTTGATTTCGAATCTATTGCATTAATTTATTATTTATATCCATATTATTATATATAACATGATTTTAACCCGAGCATATTTTCATTATGCAAATCTACATATCGCTTCAAGTTTAGCTAGTTTGTTAATAATGTAGATAAAGTCGAAATTAAGAATTAGTTTCTCAAATTGCATAACAAATGATTTCAATTATTATTATAACTAGATGTAAATATGTAGGCCGCTGTGCTACCTAGTCTTTATAATATATAGATATTCTGCAGATGATTTTAAATATTCACGATATTTAAAACTAATCGGTTGAATATCGGTATTATTACTGCAGTTTTTGACGATTGAAAGTCCGATTTAATTTCATGCTGTAAATATGGAAAAAAATTGTGCATTCTTATCATAAGAAACTGCATAATAATAAAATGAATCTTGTTTATACTTAAATATTAAATGTAATTGAAATTAACTGTAAGATATCATGAATAGTAAATTTGTTATTGTTATTTAATTCTCGTTCACTAGATTATTGAATTAAGAGCAAATAAATTAACACGATGATAAATGAGTTAATTGTATTTACTAACTAAAGACATTTATACTTACCAATTAAAGTTATCGAATAAACTAAAGGTATATGTATAATAATTACTTATCACGAATTTAGATACCCTTACTGATAAAAGGATTTATATTCGCTGATCAAATAAAATTAAATGAAAAAGATGAGAAAATAGTCTTGAGGGCAAATACTACAATCTTAAATAGTTTAAATACACTAATAAAAATTTTGACTTCATTTAGATTTATTACGATAGTTTATTCAATATGGAGATTGCCGCCCAATTTCAAATAATTAGATTTAGGGTGTTCTCAAGCCTCAACCTCGTTGTGATTAGCTCGTGATCGTAATCGTGCACAACTATAATTATATTTATGTAAAATTTTTGTTAACGAATCGAATAAGTAAATTATAAAGTAGTCAAATTTTGCACAGACGATATTCACTATGCGATTAAATAATAAATGTAACGATGCACATTTACTATAATCAATCAAAATAAGATTTGCAATTGTTACTTGAGTGATTCCTTAATATTTTATCAAATGTAGTAATCACTACGTTTAGTATTACATTTAGTTCGTTAATATTCGGTTGTTGAATGATAAGGTTACTTGTGCGATCTCTTTCAATACTGCAATACGCAATTGATTGTAAAATTTGCCAAACCACGTATGAAAAAAAGATGGTCTGCGGCAAAATGGTTGTAAATTGAAATGATAAACTCACGTATTATTTTTTTACTAATAAAAATATATTATTTACGTAATAAACTTTATTCAACTGCCATGTTTATTTAAATATTTATTACGTTGATAAACACTTTTGATCCTTTAAAATATTTTCCGCTAAGTAAAATTTATTCACCGACACTTTTTGACCCATTGATGAAGGTGTTTGAGAACACCCTTAGTAGACAATGTAATACCAATTATTTAAATTTGATCATTTTTTGATGCAACAAAACCAACACATAAGACAAGTTTAGAATGAATTATAAAAGTATTTAAGTTAATCTGTTTTAAAATTCCAATAATTTTTTATAAAGACATTGCTTCACTCGGCTTTTTCAAACTTGATTTATATATAAATATTTTTTTAATAACATTACATAAGGTTTCATAAATTCCGGGAAACAGAAAATTTTCCGATGAATGAAGCGATAAGTTTTTTTTGATGTCGATTGATATCGGCAAGCTATACTTTGTGACTTACGATTCGACTATCGGAAAATTTTTTAGCTGTCTCAGGATTTATAAAGACGACTATATCAAATCTTTTTTATATATTCTTCGACCTCGTTTCGCTCGGCCTCTTTTCAAACCTAGCTATATACATCTATATTTTTACGTCATAAAATGCTATATATATATATATATATATATATATTTCTATAATTCTCGGACTCGCATCATTTCAAATTTCACGCGAATCAAATATACATAGTCACATATATATAATTTAAATTTAGAAATGATTTTTGAATTTTTTCGCTACGATCTTTCATTATGGCCTTTGACGATCAGCATCAATTCATCTGCTCAATAAAAGATCCGAAAAGAGAAGATGTATAAAACACTGAAATACATTCACAAGTCTAGAAAAAAAGCTATTAAGGATGTAGATGCGAAAACTTTTTATTGACATTTGACAAATATTTAGAGCTTCGGATTTGGATTCGTTATTCGAATAATATTCGTATTCGGTGAATATTCGAATAAATTTTTAAATAATCATTTAATGAATAACACGAATATTCTAAATAATCATTTGATGAATAACACGAATATTCGAATGATTATCTTATTCGAATAGTTCGAATAATTATTTTATTCGAATAATTCAAATAATTTTCCTTATAATGGCAAGTGAGTTTTGGTTTTTCACATGCAACTTCTTCACCGGATTTGTGTATTTAATTGTGTCTAAAGTTGGGAATACGTATGATAATCTCATGTATGAATGTCTAGTTCAAGTCCATCACCAGTTTTTTTATTTAAAAAAAAATTAAAAATTGTAATGAAGAGCTTGTTAACAAAGCGACAAAGAAACTGTTTTTGATAATCAGTCTATTTAAAAGTTGTTCGGTAGTGAGAAGGTATTTTTCTCTTTACTATCATACATTTTGGTAACTCTGCGGCTAAGGCATTAATTGGAACTTGGTTTAATAAGTTAAATAGTAATGGTATGCAACGTCAAGCTTCTCGACTGAGGTAGCAGCGCAAGGACCTTGCTTGGCTTCACGGTTGCAGTGGCGGTGCAAGGACCTCGTTTGGTGGTAATTAGGCACCGCGGATATAATAACAATGCAAAGACTTCGTAGGATGAGTTTTGGGCTTTGTAGCAGCATTGTAAGAACTCCTTTGTTGAACCTAGCAGTACTTTATGAATGACTACATAATCGATTCTCTTTGAAGCCACATAGATCTCTCCTCGAAAACCTATCCCCATATGCTTAGACAGTATAGTTTGGTTAGAGATTATAAATTGGTTTTTTACAGGCATAGTAGTTTAAATACGTCAAGAGTGGGTTAATAGCCCGCTAGTTCGAATAGCATTATTTTCTTTAGAGATATAATATTTTGTTATAGAAGGTAGAGCCTGTAACGATAATAAACAGACTGTTTAGATAATAAGGTCATTTGTAATCTGATTGGCAATAAGAATTGAATTCTTGATAGTGTCAGAGGCAAAATGACCCACGAACGTTACGCTCAAATTCGTCGTGAAAGGTGTCCGTGGCCATAAAGAATCGTATGACAATCCCCCTGCAGCAAGTCGTGAAAATACATCAAAGCCAAGCCCCATTAACGATTACGCTGAAGATCTCATTGAGAAAAGCCACCTTCCCGATTTTGCTTGACAGGTGTCAAGGTAATATTACCTGTCGGTTAAGTGTATGGACGTGGTAATGTAGCGCAATTGTGTAAAAGCCCTTTAGTTCTAGCAGACAAAATAATAATAATAAAGTTAGTCAAAAAAAATAATAAAAGAAACCCAAATTCGGCCCTAATAAAGATCACCTTGTTCATCGTAACGCATAATCGTTCCAGTGTAACATATTTGACTTAAACCGCCAAATTGTATCCGCTTCTATTCGTCGAATATAGTTACGCGACGCCCTTCTTTTGTTGGTTGTTGGTGGTTTTGCCTTTGACAATAGATTGAATTTCAAATTGTGATCGAGATTTGAGACACCAATACTGTTATAATGTTGTACCGATATGAATTGTAGCATCATCGGCAAATATACTTTTGGTATGCAATACTTTCAACTTTCAGTAACATTTGGATAATTATTTTTTAACCCGAACAATTTTATATGCATCGATATGACATAAATAATACCATTTTGATCTGGATTCAAAAATAATTACCCATTTATTAATTAAAGGAAAAATCACTAATTATAATCGGCAGAACGACAGTATATTCAAAAATTTGCAGTCTTGATAATTCTGACGGAATATCGAAATGATCAATTACTTAGGAACTGCAGTTAAAATGAATAAGCATAAAGATTTATATATTTATACAATTTAAATTTTTAAAAAGAAAATTATTTTCCTGCATTTAAGCGAATATTGAGTACGTAATTAGTAGGGATGCTATCCTGCTTAAATCTGCTAGTTTGTGCTTTGAAACCCGTTCGAACACTGTTTGGAAACACATACGTAAACTGGGTTTCAAAATCAGCTTTAAACTATTTATATGCATATATTATTAATTATGCACGCTTAAACATGTTAGTTTAAAACCTGCTGAATAATTATTTATTATATAGTATATAATAAATTATGCGTACATTTCTCTTGATATTTATTATATCAATATTTATATACTGTATTATATTTCATTGCAGTGATTTATTTTTTTGACCCTCATGTATTCAATCATACCCAATTCACAAACAAAGGCTTGCGCCAACATTTTCTTCAGTTCTATATGACTCAACATTCGTTTTACTAATATTTCTTATTAATTCATTCACTTATCCAGATGATTACGTTTAAAATGCATTTTTATCGTAGAAAGACCTGTATTCGTTGAAGCAATGTTTGCAATATTATTTACTTGTCGCCACTTTCAACAAGCTCATCCCAGATGGATTCAGTTTTAAATCGTTTTGAGGGACTGTTTGTTGTGTATGCTGTGATAATGTCAAAATAGATGTGGAGGTAAGTTCTTTTATTTTATTAGGTTGTTTGAGTGTGCTTTCTTCGTTCATCGTATGAAAATAAAAGAAAAAAAAAGTTACATATGAAGATAAGATAAAAGAAAAAATCTTACGCGAAGATAAAAGAAAAGAATCTTACGTGTGAAGATAAAAAAAATGTTACGTATTTATGGTAATTGAAAATGCTTCTACAAGGAGATACATTTTTTGTTAAAAAAAAAATTATAACTTTTTATTAAAAATAATGCGATTCTCATTTAACCATTTTGCTTAAGAAATCGATTTCGAACCCGATTTGAGCAATAACAATAGAGTTTAAAAGTTCCTAATTAAAATCACGTGATTGCAAAACACATGTTTAACGGGTTTGGGTTTCAAACTTTAGCTGCCCGATACGATAGTATCGGAGCAGCATTTTGTCTCGAATCAATCACGGGATATGTTAGTAATATGATGCATTGTTGTGATCATTGATTTATTAATTGATCTATTGAGTATTGTCTTCTTTTGTGATTTATTGATTTATTGGTGATTGACTTCCGTATTTTATGAATTTTCAGTGACATAATGACGTAGTAATTTCGATTAGTAATCGTTAGTATTTATGGGAAACGGGTTTTTTTTAGGAAGGGTATTTTCTGTTTTTTTCTGCTAACCCGACTTTGTCTGGTTTTTTCGTGCATACTTACCTATTTACCTATTTACCCTTTTACCTTTTTACCTTTGCTATTTCTGGATAATAAACAAGACACAAACGATATTCCAACTCTGATCTGTTGTGTTATTACCGTTTCCAGTTTTTCCATATTATTGCTCTTCTAGTTAGTAAACACAAACACAAAAATTTCAACCTTGTGTGTTATCCGAGTTGTCTGGTTTTTTCAAATAAGAAATAAATATAATAAATAAAAATAAATAAATATATATATAAAAAAAAAAAGAAAAGAAAAAGAAAATATATGGTGTAAGATGTTGACTGGAAATAAGGAGTTGGAACTGGTCATTGTGTCGTGTGATACTGATTTAGCTCAAACAAGCTTGGAAACAAGCCTTCAATGGTTATCAGTAGAAACATTGAGATTTATTTGCCAAGGTATAGGCTTATCAGAACTGGGACAGAAGCAAGAAATCACCTTCAGGTTGGTGAAGAAATGTAGGACCCAGATCGGTTTGAAAGATCCTGCAAACAAGTCTGGTGCAGCCGAAAAATGAAAGGAAGTGCATTCCCAGTGAATGGAGAGCATTTCGATGGACAATTTTGAAGCTCTACGATGGGCAGGAGATAAAGTTTAGCAGCCAACTGCAGTGGACAATGCAGCAGAAGCTTATAGTAAACTAGCTGCTTTGGGGCAGAGCTTTATGCCTAGTTATGGTTGGGAAAAGAACTATGGGACCGAGCTAGGCCTACTATACTTGAATGATATTGAGTGTGAGATCTATGGATAAAGCGTGAGTTGTCTAAGCCTTGTAACCAATGGGAGTACAATGAGTGGTGCAGAGTAGAGGCATTGGTGGATAAGGCCTTAGTGTCAGGAAATATGGAATATGTGTGTTTAGCAAGGCAGGTGATTTTGGAAAGGGCCTATGTTGTTAGGGTAGCTGACAAGGATGGCTGAGATGTGGTATCAAAAATGATGGTTGGAGAAATCTTGGATCCAATGTCAGAACTCTTAGAAAATAAGCGAGAAAGTGCCAGGTTGGCTGCGCAGCATTTCACAAGGCCTAAAAAAGCTAAAACTATGTCCTATTCACATTACAATCAGCCTCAGGCCCAGGTCCCGTTTTTGCAAGGAAATAGTATTTCTTCAGTGCAAGTTTTACATTTTCATCCTTATGCGCAACAGATAGGTTTTCAACAGCCGTTCCTGGGGCAACAACTGGGACCACAGAGTCAGTTCAGAGCTTTTTCAGCTCAAACTTTTCAACTGATCACTCAAATTGGGCATCCCATTTTCCAGCATTCACAACAGCTAGGACCTGGAGTGGCCATATCATCTCCAGTACAGCAACAGAAGTATAGGCCAATAATGCAGTGGTCAAAAAGATTTGAAAAAATAAAGGCTTTAAAGAAAAGGATGTGGTTTGTTATATTTGTAAGGGTAAAAGCTATTTTACAAATGAATGTAGTTCTAAGAAAAACTTTGGTTTGTCTTTTTATGGAGATAGAGCCTATTCTGGAGGAAGTTGACTATACTCAGAGGTTTTTGGGAAAAAGGATGATAGGTACGGATGTTTAGGTGTGAAAAAAATTTACAGTCAAGCTGCAGTAAAGTACTAGGAGGAGGTTATAGGACCATCACAACTGGTATTAAAGTAGTTGAAGGAAGAGATTACTTTGTTCTCAAGGAGCTTGGTGTGTTTAGCAAGAGAGCCAGATCCGAGACTATTTTAGTTCACACAAGAAGAAGAGATTTGGTTGGAGAAGGAATTGAAGCATTTGGAAATGTTAGAAGCAATAGTAAAGTCTCAAAGAGTTGTTCCTGTCCAGAGAATCTTTTAGAAGTAAGACTAGTTTTTCTGGTCCTGAAACAAGGACCCAAGAAGTTCCGTCTGGTGATCGACTTGAGAAGGCTAAACCGAACTCTACTGTAGAAACACTTTCGCTTCGAAGGTCTAGAAAGGTTGCTGTGAATGATTGGTTTGATATGTGGTTGATATCATTTGACTTAAAGGAGAGTTATCATCATATGCTGATGGATGCCGAAGCTCAAAGACTTTTAGATTTTGTGGTAAAAAGAAATTGGTAATAGTACAGAGTTTTACTTTTTGGGCTAAGCCAGTCTTTGTGGGTTTTTTCAAAAATAATGAGAGCAGTGATTGGCAATTGGTGGGCCCAAGGAATTTTTTGTGTTTGCTATCTGGATAACATGTGGGTGGTCCACTCTTTGAAGGAGAAGTTGTTGAGGATAAGGGATAGGATCGTAAAGGTCGATTTGGAGGGGTGTAGTTGGACCAGGGCTGAGAAGAAAGGAAGCTGGGACTCAACACGAATATTAAAGTTTTGTGAAATAATCATAGATACTGTGAATAGTTGCATAGTAGCACAAGAGGAAAAAATAGCATTGATAACGGTGAAGCTGGAAGCCTTATTGAAGGCACCAACAGCTGCGGTAAGAGACTTGGCATCAGTGGCAGGCAAGATAATAAGTTTGTTCAGAGCTTTTCTTCTGGGACAGGTGAAGTGCATAGAGTTTTACAAACTCATAGATGTGCAGAACCTTTATACTTGACAATAGAACAACAAGGTTTATTTGTCAGTCCAGGTGATTAAGGACGTCAGGTGGTTGGTGAAAAATTTAAGAAAATGAAATGGCTGGCCAGCCTGGAAGCCCAGATAAATTCAGTCTATGTAGATGCTTCAATAACCAGCTGGTGTGGAATTTTTTGCAAACACAAAGCTTTGGAAGGTTAAGCACACTCTCATATGTCAAGGGTGATTGCACAGTTAGAAGCATTGGCAGTGCTAAAGACGCTGTAGTCATTCAAAAACCTGTTGAAAGAAACTTGGGTGACCTTATTTATTGACAAAAAGTAGCTCTGAAAATGGTAATAAAAGGAGGCCTGGAGGTGTGGCAAAAGAATATCATGAGACAAATTTGGGAGGTGTGTGCAGAGGGTGACTTGGCAATTTTTGACATATAGTGGATACCATTGAAGCAGAACACAGCAGATTTCCTAACAAGAGTGTTTAATCTGAGAGATTGAGTATTGAGTTTGGCAGTTGTGGGCCAGTTAGAGTTAGCTTGAAGAAAATTTGAGGTGGACAGATTTGTGACTACTTGAATACAAAAACTCGAGGTTTAACAGCCAATTTTTTTGCTCAGAGTCAGAGGCTATGGATTGCTTTATCCAAAATTAGGCTGGAGTAAGAAATTACATGTGCTCCTATTTGGGCAAAT